GGGGGCGTGGCGGGGGGGGTGGGCGGCCGGGGTCTCGCGTCCGGGGGGGGGGCTTTTGTTGGGGTTCAGTCTCCTTATCGGCCTGGGTGCCTGGACGTAGGTCGCGGCGGCTGCGGAGGCGGCAGCGGTGGCGGCAGCGGTGGGTGGTGTGGGATGGGCAGTGGGAGGCCGGTGTCTCGGATCCCCGGGGGTCGGCTTTTTTTGGGTTTCAGGCTCTCTGGTCGGCCTGGCTGCTTGGACGGAGGCGGCGACGGCGGTGGGCACGCCTGGTTCTCGGTTCCCCGGGGAGGTGGAGCTTTTTGGGGGTTCATGCTCCCTGATGAGCCTGGCAGCTTGGTCGGTGGTGGCGGTGGGCGGGCCGAAGTCTCGGCTTCCCGTGGAGGGGGCCTTTTTGGGGGTTCAGTCTCCCTGATCGGCTTGGCTGCTTGGACGGCGCCTGCGGTGGGCGGGCAGAGGTCTCTGGTCCCCTAGGGGGTGGAGAGGTTTTGCTGGGCTTCAGGCGAACTGGTCGGCCTGCCTGCTTGGACCGGGGCAGCGGCGCCGGCGGTGGGCGCGCGTAGGTCTGCGGTCTCGGGGGCGGGGCATTTATTTCCGTGAAGGTTCCCTGGTTGGCCTGGCTGCTTGGACGGCGGTTGCGGTGGTGGCGGTGGGCGAGCACGGGTTTGAGCTGCCTGGGGCGGGAGCTTTTATTGGGGTTCAGGCTCCCTGGTAGGGCTGACTGCTTGGACAGCAGCGGTTGTGCCGGTGGCGGTGGGCGGGCCCGGTTCAGGGGTCCCCGGTTTGGGGGGGGGCTTTTGATGGGGTTCAGTCAACCTGTTCGGCCTGGCTACTTGGACGGCGGTGGCGGCGACGGTGCGTGGGCCCGGGCCTCGGGTCCCCGGGGCGTGGGGGACATTTGTTGGGGTTCAGGCTCATTGATCGGCTTGGCAGATTTGACAGAGGCGACGGTTTTGGGCAACGGATCTTTGTTCCCGGGAGGGGGGTAGCTTTTATTTGGGTTCAGTATCCCTGATCGTCCTGGCTGCTTGGATGGCGGCGGCGGCGGTGAGCGTTCCCCGGTCTCCGGTCCTCGGGGCGGGGCTTTTGTTTCGGTGAAGCCTCCCGTGTTGGCCTGGAAGCTTGGACAGCGGCGGCGATGGGCGGTGTCCGGTGGGAGGTCCTGGCTCGCGGGAATTCGGGGGTGTGGCTTTTGTTGTGTTTCAGGCTCCCTGATTGTCCTGGCTGCTTGGAAGGCGGCGGTAGCGGCTGGGAGTGCCCGGGTCAGGGGTCCCAGGGCGCGGGTCTTTTGTAGGGGTTCATGCTCCCTGGTCGGCCTGGCTGAATGGACGGCTTCGGTGGTGAGTGGGCGGAGGGCTCGTGGTCCCGGGGGGAGCATTTGTTGGGGTTCCACCGCCCTGGTCGGCCTGGCTACTTGCACGGCGGTGGCGGCGTTGGGGCGTGGGCCCGATTCTGAGGTCTCCAGGGGCGGGGGCTTTTGTTGAGGTTCATGCTCCCTGCTCAGCCTGGCTGCTTGGACCATGACGGCGGCGGCGGCGACGGCGGTGGGCGGGCACGGGTCTCGGATCCCGGGGGCGGGGCTTTTGTTTCGGTGAAGGCTACCTGGTTGGCCTGGATGCTTGGACAACTGCGGCGGTGGGCGGTGTTTGATGGACGGTGGGCGGCACGTGTCTCTAGTCCCCGGGGAGGGTGGTGCTTTTGTTGTGATTCAGGCTCCCTGGTAGAACTGGCTGCTTGGAAGGCAGCGGGGGCGCTGGTGGGCTGGTCCGGGTCTCGGGTCCCCGGGGTGGGGCTTTGGTTGGGGTTCAGTCTCCCTGATCGACCTGACGGTTTGGACTGAGGCGGCGCCGGCGGTGGGCAGGCCCGGTTCTCGGTTCCTCGGGGGGTGGGGCTTTGTGGGGGTTCATGCTCCCTGGTCCGCCTGGTTGTTAGGAATACTAAGGAGGAGGCCGCGGAGGTGGTGGTGCCCGGGACTCGGGCACGGGGGACAGGGTAGCTTTTGAGGAGTTTCAGGCTCTCTGGTAGGCCTGGCTTCTTGGACGGTGGCGGCGGTGGGCAGGCCCGTTTCTCGGTTCCCCAGGGTGTGGGGCTTTGTGGGGGTTCATGCTCCCTGGTCGGCCTGGTTGTTAGGAATACTAAGGAGGCGGCGGCGGAGGTGGTGGTGCCCGGGACTCGGGCACGGGGGGCAGGGTAGCTTTTGAAGAGTTTCAGGCTCTCTGGTAGGCCTGGCTTCTTGGACGGTGGCGGCGGTGGGCGGGCCGAGGCCTCGGTTCCCCAGGGTGTGGGGCTTTGTGGGGGTTCATGCTCCCTGGTCGGCCTGGTTGTTAGGAATACTAAGGAGGCGGCGGCGGAGGTGGTGGTGCCCGGGACTCGGGCACGGGGGGCAGGGTAGCTTTTGAAGAGTTTCAGGCTCTCTGGTAGGCCTGGCTTCTTGGACGGTGGCGGCGGGGGGCAGGCCCGGTTCTCGGTTCCCCCGGGGGTGGGGCTTTGTGGGGGG